GGAACACTAACAATCGTGGACTGGGCTCCCCACAATCTGGATCTCAACATTATGAAGCAGTGTGGGATCATCGTAACAGAGAAGAAAATAAAAGGCAGCCAACACCCAATGAAAGGCTTTGAATGTCCTTCAAGAAGCCTGGAGATCTACTGAAGACTGCTTCAGGAAATTACAAAAAAGCTTATAGGAGAGATCATGCTGTGCAGAATAAAGATGGTCATTAAATGGTAGAAACTCAATTTTTTTCCTTATATACTGCATTTTCCTTTATTTTTGCAAATGTTTCGATGAGTCGCTGCTGCGATTTCTCCATTTTCCAAGCTAAACGATCTGCATTGACCATCCTCGAGAGCGCAATGGCATTGAGGCTAATGTCACGAGACATCACTGGGTAATACTGTCTTCTGAAGTCATCACACCTGATTGTCTTTTGTGATGCTGTCATGCTCTGATGGCAGCAGTGACAGGCTAGTTTGCACTTTCCCTCCAGTAGACTGACACAGTGGCCTGCTGAAGTGACCGAGGCAGGCTGACGCACTGTCGGAGGCTGAGGCAGCCTTCGGTCAACTCCTGTTACTGTACGGGCTCATAGCTGACCTCTCACACATTCAGCAATATTTTAGCCTTAGCACAAACACACACGTCACTCACAAAACCACGCACAGCCACATATCCACATATCTATCTATCTATCTATCTATCTATCGATCTATCTATCTATCTGTGCGCAGACTTTATCTGCAAAGACGGTGAGCTACTGCACACTATTATTCTAGAGAAGCAGTGATGTTTGCTTTATGAAAGAAAACGACGGTATCCACAATTTCGCTTGGCAGTCGTTCTTATGAATCATTACCACGCATCGATGTGAAAATCTACCACGATACTAGGTCACCACGTTCAGTTATATAACCACTCTTAACGAAGATCATCCCATCGTGGGATATGGAAATGAAAGATAGGCCTTTGAGAAGACGTATCGAGATCCTGCGGCGTCTCACGCATGCGGGCTAGATAATGAGGAGGAAACGGAATCAGCCGTGGGGGTCTTCAGTGCTGGACCCTCGCTCTCTTACCCACGGCTGCTCAGCTGCTTCTGTCATCCATATTTGCAGCCTCAGTGGACAATTTGCTCAGCCTCGGGCCTTCTTCAGCGCTCACAACAACACATCAAATGAATTAATTCTGCTGCTGTGGCAGCGCACTGGCGATCTAGGTCATGCAGCTCTGTCTCTGTGTCCCCCCCCCTCCCTTCGGCCACCTAAAGACATGTCCACATCCTGCTGTCCTCCTACACAACCTGACCTTGTCATTCTCAGGTGATTTTCCACAGAGACACGAGTGTGGCCGTTTAGTCTGCGCGTGTGTTCGTGTGCGCAGGCGCGCGTGTCAACGCGTGTGGCGTGTGAGTACGTCTGTGCCCACTGTGCCGTATTTATTTATTGGTTTGTTGGTAGCATAGGTATGATGAAATGTTTTTGAAAAAGCACTGAGCCGCTGTGGCTCGCCTGCAGCCATGTGAGCATGAAAGAGGGGGGAGAAGAGCGAGAGCGCAGGAATGGATGCGGGAGGGTGAGCAAAGTG